AGAGAGTATTAAACCCGAGACATGGGATGCAAATCACGGTCTGCCCCAAAAGACAATAAGTGGCCGTTGCGCCACGCACATGGAATGCCTATGTAAACATCATTAATAACTCAATACATGTAAGTAATTAAATATATTTAAATAATTTTATGATATTTTAATACTTTCTATTGTAGTAAATTTGAAAAACACTTTTTCGAATATAAGAAATTTATTTAAACGAATGGATATAACATCAAATTATATAGCTAGGAGCTTGAGTGAACAATCAATCTTGGTGTTTCCCTCCTTTCTGGTGTACCTTTCTTCCCCCTATTATTTTCCTCAGTAAAAAGAAGCAGTCAATTGCCTGCAGAATGAAGGCAATGAAATTCGAGAGGTTATGTTCCATTTGCATATCTTTGTTCAAATGTGAGAGTCAATTAAGAAGTTTCCATTTCATCACAGTATTAATGCACAAATGTTAAATATTAAGCATCTGAACTGGAACAAGATAATCATACTACAGTGTTCTACTGTACATGGCAGATGCTCTCATGGAATATACATAGCAGTCATCTTAAACGCCCGAGGTTATCTCTGGTGTGAATGTCTCTGCATTTCAGCTTCTAGTTTCTTAACATTGTCAACAATAACCTGAATTTTCGAAGATAACTCTTCTGTTTGTTCCTCAACGTTATTCATAAAACTTAGCAGCTTTTCTCGATAGTCAGAACATAATTGATCCATACGTGCTAACTCCATGGTGAGTTCTTCAATTTTCTTATCCTTGTCATCCTGCCAACATCAAGTTAACAATCAGTTTCTGAGTTAATACAGACAGGACTTAAAGACTAGCTACAAAAATGAACACAAGACCAGAAACACAAGAAAAACTATAAGCTAGACAGAGCGTTTTCATTCATCTCTAGTGCCCTCACCCTCTGAAGAGATAATTCTCTATCAGACAAGATGAATACTTTTTTCCAAGTTCCAGAAAAAGCTATTGTTAACAAATGACCTTAGAACATGTGTGAATATATGACCACCAACTGGTAGAGCTAGAATGATAACATTTCCATGTACGTTTGACCACCCATGCCAGATGATAGATCAACCATTCATCATTGTCAAATGAAACATTCAACAACAGAAAGTAATTCGGTCATATCAAACCAAAATCAAGTGAGAGAAAGTGAAGTGCGAGCAAGTGGGAAAGCAGAATAAAAAAGGGAGAGGAGAATAGAAAGTTCTAAGTTTTCTCTTGTTTTGATGTTTGATAGCAGCCAACAAGATCAGAGAAAAAGACGACTTTTTCTGATGTAGCCTTGTTTGGTTGAAACTTGAAACTAACCAATAAGGTTTCATATTGAGAGTTAAAAAGCATCAGTTAAAGTGGAGAAATTAGAATACGGTGGTTGAAGGAATTCTGGATGAAGTAGTTACTTCTTCCACTACTTCTTCTCCTTTAAAAAGCTTGAAAAGGAGGAGATAACAATCCCCCAGACCCTAGTTCTCTCCTTTCTTTGTATCCAAACAACCAATATAGAGTATGCAATGCTACAACTGAAAAAAAACATGGATCTTGTCCGCTGTATTAACATTACCTAATACATATAGGGTGCAGTAATGTGGTTTTTTTTTTTTTTATTCATATCGACTTGTCATGTAATAGAAAAGTATGGATTGTTGCATGTCTTCTCAACAATTCTATGCTCCGCTGTGGTCGTGTGGTTATTCAGATTCTCCAGTACATTAAAGTATGTTGTATGCCAATAATTTCTAGTCATCAGCACAGATCAACAGGCCAATATTCAGCACAGAATAACATTTATTTCTTTCTAGAAAACTTTTTAAAAACAAAGAGAACCCAAGGATTTCATGTGACACATACAGCTGAAAGAAACTAAACCATAAGTTTGATATCAAAAGCTGGTAAGCACAAGGGAACTCATCACTACGTTAAATTGATGATGACCACACAAGATAAAACTTCTTGCATTAGAACATCAGCATTAAGCATGAATCTCCAAGAAATTGATTCAGAAAAATAAAAGCTAAAATTTTCATGACTATTTAGAATATTTTCCAGCTTACTCATCCATTGCATTTATAGTTTATTAAAAAGAAACTGCCCTAAACTCAATGAAATGACATTTTCCCTTTCATATACTATAAATTATCATTATCAAATACAGATAGTCAAAAAACAAGAATTCAACTTAGAAGAAACTATAAGAACATAAAAGAAGAAACACAAAAATCCACAAATTCAAATTAAGATACAATCAGCATGGTCCAAGACACCAAATTTAGTTATCTAGAAACAAATTTAATAAAAACTTACAGTTGTGCTGAATCCATTTGTGGTAACAACAAGAGGATGATTATGCTCCTTCACAAATCTTGTGACAACCCATTTTCCAGATTTTTCCATCTTAACCAAGATTGTTGCTTTGCATCCTTCCCGTGCACTAGGACGTGGCTTTTTTTCTGAGCCATATGAACTCTTATTATTAGGAGAAAAACCCTGCTTGTTACATCCAAGTCGGCGAGCAAGAGTTCTTCCATCAATCCCTGAACGACGGCGTTGCATAATACGCACAACAAATCCTACCCTTCTAGCATACTCCATGTAGAACTGTCTAGCATCATCTTCAGATTCAAACTCCAAACCCACATATGGTTCAGGAATTTCACCTCCTGGTTCACCTGTTTTTTCTTCAGTAACACTGCCCACTATACCAACTCCTTTCTCTGAATCCACTGTTACACAATTGTTTTATGAAATTTTTTTTCAATCAAAATACATAACAGTTAAAAATCCAATAAACCTTGCATTTTGTAAATCATAAGCTTATATGAAGTTTAGCCATTGTTCTTTGCTTCAATATATGATTCATGTGAGAAATGGTTTTCTAAACTTTTTCTTGTTGATACCTAACAGACTTGACTTGAAATAATAGGAAAAGAAAGTGGAAATTGAACACTGGTTAAAATAGCAAGAAGCATAATTTTGAGCTACTATGTGCATGCTTGATAATGAGAATGAAGGAGAGGTACTAAGAGCATAATGGTGGGTGTTTGAAGGAGCAGAAATTAAAATGATAACTGACAAAGCATTAGAGAGCAGAAAAGAACCCAATCTTACAAGCAGTGTCTCTAACTAGTATTTTAGAATGAAGAAAAAGGTTTAAAAGAAAAAAAAAAAAAAAGGTTAACAATTTGTCTAAAATATATCAAAAATTAAACAGAAACAAAAGACAAGAGAAGTGATATGAGTGAGAAAGTTGCATCACATAACTGTGCTCAAAGCTACAAATGGCAGCACCATAAAAGAATAAGTTTCCACGCTTAGCTGATGAGTATAAATTATTGAATAATAATAATAATAAGTGAACTCTCATTTAAGCCTCATCATAGCTATGATAGAAGAAATTAAATAAAATCATATAAATAAAAACACGAACCCTCACATGAAAACAATGACAGAGTAACTTTGAAACCATAAGACTATAAAAGACAAATACAGTGAAACAATAACATGAATAGATAAAGCAAAAAAACTACTAACAGCTAGGAACTGATAAACAGTTAAAATATTGTTGCTGAATGAATGCAGCAAAGCCAAAGGAGAAGGAAACATACAAAAGAATTTGTTTCATGGATGGAAACGTGTACAAAACAGGTAAAATCTTAACAAGTAAAAAAGAACAAACAAGAAATGTAAAACAATTGATGAAAAAAGCAACTACATACAAGTTTTCAGCGATCCTGTTTCTTACCAGTACCTGTAGAATCTAACATCCTTTACAAGTAAAAAACAACCCAAAAAAAATGCTTCCACCTACCACAAGTAGGATTAATTAAATTCAGGAGGTGACTAGAACAAGAGTGATACAATATCAATTCTTCCAAATTAATTGTCCTTCATAAAAACAGAAATGAAACTCGCAGCATTCTAACTTCAACAAGCATTTATATTACCCTCTCCTAATCATCTCACAGAATTACAACCTCACCCAACAAGAGATTAGCCGAGTTGGTAACCACTAACTAAAAAAAACCTTAATTTGGGGTAAAGATCAGGTGTTCAAAACTCTGCAACGCCACCCAACTAACTTGTACCAAAAAAAAAAAAACCATTCATTCTAATTTCTAAAAGAAAATTCCATGGCTTAAAACTGCAGAATCATGAAGTTTTCATTGCAATTAAGACGAGAACTGAATACTAAACACATCAAATTTGCAAAGTTACTTTCTTCAGACAAAAATTCCTCAACTGGAATAGAATTCTGTCCTAACAAGAGTTGTTTATTACAAGTTCTACAGTCTCAATCAACACGAACTAAGTTTAAAAAGGCGCACACCGTGCGTAGCTTTTTCTGGACCTATATTTTCTCAGGAAACAAACAGGGGAAAAGGAGAACTTACTGTATCCGATACTTCCCCTGACGCGTCGGACGACTATTGAGAAGCGATTTCTGACTCTGATCTGATACAGGAAGGATTAGAGCAGGTCAAGATGAAATGATATATTCCACCGTTGGATTGGAAAATGGATGGCCTGAGAAAGAGAACTGAGATTGTCTTGTGTGTAAACGCTCGCACCCAAATCAACACTCTACTCTCCTCCGCCATAAACGGGCGGGTTAGACTCAACGGGTCGAGCTTACTAATTAATTTTTGGACAAATATTTTTTTTTTCTTAAGTTATTTCTTGATTTAAATCCTATGTAAACATTTTTTTCAAAGGTAATATAAGTAAAATTATAAATTTATCTCAAATTTTTTAAAAAATAAATAATATAATTGATATCAAGTAAAATACTCCATATACGTTTTATAACCTAATTAGTTCACATAAATTTAGGTTATAGTCGAAAAAGATTCAATGTCACTTCAAGTATATAATTAAGAAAGCTCCTACAAAGGGAATCAATCAAATTGAGTTAAATCTCAACTCTTGTGATCTTGAAAGAAAGTATTTAAGACCTAAATAACTGAGTTGTCTAGAATGAAACCTAAGTCATGTTTAACCAACCTATGTTCCCAACTTAAGACGCAAAACTTGGTGAGGAATAAAGGACACGGGCCCATGCAAGGTTAGACTTGGTCCACACTTAGAGGTAGCCATATTCATATTAGCACTTACACCAACTATTACCTATTCTGCAAGTGATGCTTCTTTGTCTTCTTGTCACACGATACCTTTTCATCGACAGTCATATTTACCACCTTACATTTTTGCAAGTCAAACTCTAACAATTGTACAAACTAAACAAGTTCCTGTCCTTAGCAAAACAACACACCTCACCACTATAAAAGAGGGTTCTTTCTCAAATCCCAAGATAATTCAAACTCTTTTTTCCTCTTTTCTTCAAACTTCCTCTCCTCCATTGTTGTTCTTCTTACACCTTTATCAGAATATTGCTTATTTAAGAATTAAAGTGTATACACCAAAGATCACCTCTAGGTTTCCAATGCACACACTAACAGTCATATTTCCTTTTGCCCATGCACAGGTTAAGTTTCCAGAGAAAAATCATAACTTTCCTCACTTTGATTCTAGGGAAATGATAAGAGAGGTCATGGTAAAAACCTATTTTGAGTCCCTAACCTTACTAAATTTGAAGGTTTTAACCCCTTACTTTATATTTTAATACTTTTAACCTTTCACCTTACTAGATTTATAGGTTTTAGCCATTCACTTATTAAAATTAAAGAAAATAAACCTCACTCTATATTGATTGTTAACTCTGTTAAATGAAAATCTAATAGCTAGTTAACAGAATTAATAAAATATTATAAAATTAATCATGTTAATTGTATTCGTTGCAAGAAGATTTTTATCAGTTAACAGTCACTTAATAGTCAGCTAATAGAGTTAACAGCCAACTAATAAAACTAACAAAATGTTATAAAGTAAGAACTATTTTCATCAATTTTAATGTGTGAAGGGTTAAAAGTGTTATAATATAAAGTGAAAGATTAAAATTTACAAATTTAATAAGATTAGAAATTAAAAATGCCATAATATAAGATAAATGGTTAAAACTTTTAAACTTAATAAGACGAGGAATTAAAAGCATGCTTTTGGTAGAGGTCCTTCCCCTCTCCTACCTTTAAATCATTTGAAAAAATTAAAATGAATTTAAGAATTAAAATTTCAAAAAATAAAGTACAGAATGCTTATTCCCTCTATTCCCATTCCCTCGAAATTTTTTAATAACCAAATGGGCTCCAAAATGAACAAGTCCACTTCATAAGGATTCTTTCAGCGAAGCAACAGGTTGGAGATTTAAGTATGGGGCAGGTATATCCACCAGTTAATTTGTTAAGATTATATAATATTATTTGAAAAAATATTAATTTTAATTAATTTAATTATTAAAAATAATAAATAATTAATAAAGTAATTAATATTTATTAATTAATAAATTAAAATTAATTTATAAATTGATATTTTTAAACATTATAATTAACTGCTTAAAAATAATTATACTGTAAATGTAAATCGAATTAAACACAATTTATATAGTGTCGACAAATTATTAGATGACCAGTTACCATGGCGGATTTTTAAGTGTCTAAAACATAAGAAAGACACAAAAACAAGAGTCCAATTGCAGCCAGTACTGGATGCCACGACAAGAAATCATTCCTTGCAAGCGATTCCCTAGCTAAACAGAAACCGTTATATGCCATATTTGTAGCCATAGGTTCTGGATTAAATCTCTAGCAAATTTCCATCTCGTTGGAATCCCACAATATTACAACACAAGCAGTGACATAAGAACCTAAAATCTGTGTTTTTTTTTTTTTATTCTAACTGATAAGTACTTGTATTGCAAAACCCCAAATGGGTATTTACAGAAAAAGCTACTTAGGCATACCCATGTTTACACAGACTAAATACTCCGTAAACAAAAGAACAAAAAACTAGCCAGCTCTAACTTCCACTATTTGCAGCACCTGTCTCACAATACCAGAAAAATGGTGATTTTCTGCTTGAAAATCCCACAATTCCTCCCCTTCCATAGCAAATAGAGAGTAGCAGTAAAGGCAACCTGCACCCTTCTAGCTTTTCTATTGAGGCCCTTGCATATGCCACGAAGCCACACCCATTCTCGACTCCAACCCAGCAGAGTATGATCAATATCCAACTTAAAATCGGTTTTGATCTGTGGTGATATATAACGGCATTGCTTCCTCATGTGCCAAAGCCTTAAATCTAACATTCCAACCCATGGCATTGGCATATCCCCAAACCTAATTTAGGTAAAAGAAAAAAAGAAAGGAAAAAAAAAATCAAGAGCTTAATCTCAACCCAAAAGATGATAGCGGATATTTGTTGGAGATGGTTGTTTTGTGATAATCTGTTCGCTAACTGCTAATCCAAATAGATCTTAAACAAAAGGCATGCCCTAATACACCCTGCTAGATACCCTTCCACTTCTAAAATATCCAAAAATCTAAACCATATTAACTACAAAATGCAAAAACCATCCGAAATTAAGCTTATAACAAAGCTATAATTTCAGATTATGCAAACGGCTTTTTTTTTTTTTTTTAAATAATAATAAGAAGCTCAATTTGACAAAAAGAGCACAAAAACCATAAACAAATTTACAATTTTATCGAAGTGGAAGTAGAATTATGGATGAGTACCGTTCTGTTTTCTCAGTGCATAAAAGCATAAAAAGCAGTGGAAATATAAACCACGAGAGCAGAGGAAACCAGAAGGACCAGAGCTCCAACGGCATGAATCGCCGGCTTGCTCCCACACGACAGCATCCCCAACCGGATCTCGATGACGTACACCATCGAGAGAACTAAGAAAATGCACCCCATCACCGACCCCACGGCGGATCCCATCATCCCGAGCCTCAACACCTTCCGGTTAATGGTGGCCCGGAACACTTCATCCACATCTTTGCTGTTGAGCAAATTGATGGCGAGCTTCAGCCCTTGGGCGACAAGCGAGGAGAAGAGGAAGAAGCTGAAAGAGACGACTTCAAAGACTAGAAGCTTCTTCACCACGTCGATGCCGGCGTCGCAGGCGGAGGGGTTCTCGAGGCTGTGTTGCCCAGGTGTAGTCAAGGACAGACCCACGAAGACGGCGATCGTAAACAGTGAGTTCACGTTCACCAGCCCGTCCAGCGCCGTCACGTGGACACTGGTGGTGGAGGAATCAGAAGACGGCGACGATCCTCCGGGGTTGCTGGCGTAGTACACCTTTGGGGATCGTTCAGATCTGAGAAAAAAAAAAATCACAAAAAGAAACCAACTTTACCAATCAAGAACTCATAATCTTCAAAACCCATCAAAAATTTCTAAAAAAGTTCGAGAATTTACTCATCCATGATCGAATCTCAGAACAAAAACCGATGCTTGATTATGTTTTGGAAATAACAGAAGAAACAGGGCAAAAAAGCAGAATCGAATGAAATTAGCTTCGGCGCTACAATTATTGCTTGTGGGTGCAATATACTTTGCTTTTATACTTGGGTTTGGCGTTTTTAGAGGGTTTTAAGAACATGAGAAAGATGGATTTGAAGTTTTTTTCTTTTGGCCTTCGAGATTTCCAGTCTGAACATGGGAAAGAGGTGAGGGTCTGTTTCAGCTTTTTAGCTTAAAATCAAAATAAAATTGCTTGGGAAAGATGAATGTCTTAAACTTAAATGCAACCGAAGCGGGGACAGGACAATATATATGTGATGACGATAATGCCCATCCAATACCAGTTAGGTACCTGGAAGTGACTTCTGGGAATAGTCTAAACATAGTTTTCTAGTTTTCCATTTTTCCATTTCCATTTCCTTTTCCTCGGCTGAGGTTATCGCTAAAAACAAAAAATGTTTCGATTTTAAAATTATCAATTTTAACTATAGTTTTATTAATTTATAATTTTTATTTTTAAACAATTAATTATATGATATTTGAATCCATTATTTTTAAGTTTATTAGTTCATCTCCAAACCTTAAATATTTAAATACAATTGATTAAAAATTCAACTTCTGTTATCACTTTAAAAAAATATTCACATCCCTTGAATTTCCTAATGTTAAAAAAAAATAGTTATATGATATTTAGAAATGTTTACATATAAATTAATTTTAATTTTTT